CATCTGAGTGGGCCCGAGCCTTGGTGGGCGGCAGCACCCCCTGGTGGATGTCAGAGGTACTGCGAGGGGCCTCCGGTTTGGGGACCACTCACCAGAGGTCCCGGGAGGCTGAGCCCACACCCGCTGGGTGGCAGGGCCCTGGGATCCCAGCTGGGCCGGCTCGGTGCCCCGCGCCCCACCCGCTGCTCTCCCATAGGCCTCTTTGGCACCGGAATCCAGTCCTACTTCACCTTCCTCCGCTTCCTGCTGATGCTCAACCTGCTGACCGTGCTTCTGACCGCCGGCTTCGTGCTGCTGCCCCTGGTCTGGCTCCGCCCACCGGACCCCGGCCCCGCCCTCAACCTCAGTGAGTGCCTGGACAGCCCCCACCCTCTGGGTCTCTGGGCATCCTCGCTGGGGTCCAGCCAGGGACTCCACCCGACCAGCCTGTTGCATGGCAAGGCCTCCCGGGCTGAGGGCTACGGAGTGGGTGGGGGCACATCCTCCCTTATGCCTTGGGGACCCTCTCCTGTTGGCCCGCTCCCTCCTCCACAGCCCTCCAGTGCCCTGGTGACCCCCAGCCTGTGACTGCTGATCCCAGTTTCCACTCCCGACTTTGGAATGTGTTAACTGGCCGGGTAAGTGGCCCCATCCCAGCGACGGCTCTGGAGGGCACTGGCCTCAGGGGACCCCAGTCGAAGTGGACACTCACCTCTCCAAGCACATTTTGGCATTTACTTATTTATTTGCTCATTGATGTCAGAGAGGAAGGAAGAGGGAGAGAGAAACATCAATGATGAGAATCACTGATTGGCTGCCTCTTGCACGCCCGCTACTGGGGATCGAGCCCGCAACCCGGGCATGTGCCCTGACCGGGAATCGAACCATGACCTCCTGGTTCAGAGGCCGACGCTCAACCGCTGAGCCACGCCGGCTGTGAGACATTTTGGCTCTTGGGGGGATGGTCTTACACAGACAGCCTGGCCAGGCCAGTGATGGGGTCAGAGAGAGCGGAGGCCACTGGGCATCAGGGCTTGGGAAAGCGCCCACAGGCCTCGGGGCCCAGCTGGCATGGAGCGCGGGGGACAGGAGGGGACAAGCGTGCAGGCCTCTGAGATCAGCACCGCCACACCCTGGTCCCTGAAAGCCACTTGGGCCTTTCTCTTCCTCAACACTGTGTGGCCTTGGGCAGGCGGCCTGACCCTTCGGAGCCTCTGTGAAGTGACGAAGGGGTTATTGTGAGTCAACGAGCACTTAGCACCCAGCCCGGCAGGGACTGAAGCTCAGTGGTCCTCACCCTCGTCCTCACCCACCCGTGTCCCAGGCCTTCAACAACACCTATCTCTTCTATGGCGCCTACCGGGCGGGGCCCGAGGGCAGCTCCGCCTACAGCATCCGCCTGGCCTACCTCCTGAGCCCGCTGGCCTGCCTCCTGCTCTGCTTCTGCGGGACCCTGCGGCGGTGAGCATCCTGCCCTCACCTCCTCACAGGCCGGGGTCCTGCCCGCTCACCCTCCCTTGGCAGAGTCCTGCCCCAAGCTGGCAGGAAGGTCCTGGCTCGTCCAGTAAGGCTCATAGGTGCCTCCTGGGTACAATCTCTGGGTCCCCGGCTGCAGCCCTCAGGGCCCCAGGCCACTGCCTCTGTGTCCCCTCCCCTCCCGGACCCAGGCCGAGGCCATCGCCTGGCCCCGGGGCTGCCAGGGCTTCCCAGACCCAGAGCCACGCCCAGGCTGGCAGCCTGGAGGCGCCCTCCCACAGGCCCTGCCTCCTGCCCCCCCAGGATGGTGAAGGGGCTGCCCCAGAAGCTGTTCCTGGGCCAGGACTACCGGTCGCCGCTCAGCGCCAAGGTCTTCTCCTCCTGGGACTTCTGTATCCGCGGCCGGGAGGCAGCCACCATCAAGCAGCACGAGATCAGCAACGAGTTCAAGGTGAGTGAGGGCGTGCGAGTGTGAGCGGGAATCGGAGTGTGTGTGTGTGTGTGTGTGTGTGAGAGAGAGAGAGAGAGAGAGAGCATGTGGTATGTATATGAGAGTGTATGTGTGTGAGTGTGTACATGCGTGCACACAGATGTTACACCTGGAGGCAGAGGCTGTGCGGGTGTAGTGTGAGCGCTCACCTCTCACCTGCACAGTGCAAGGAGGGGAAGTAAAACCAGCTGCCACTCCTAGGCCTGTCCCTGCCCCAGGGTCACCCCAACCCTGCCTAGACCCTGGCCC